TTGTGACTGTTAGCTGTGTGAGTTTTCGAATTTTTAAGTTGTCATAACTTTGTTAATAATGAATATTTTTTCATGAAATTTTGGTCACACCTGTTTAGAGGCACTCTGAATCCAGTGGCGTAGTGATTTTTTCAATAAAAAAATCGCCAATAAAAAATACCGATTTTCGACTGAGAAAAATATCGTAGTCTGCCCTGAAACTTTAATAAACATTTCAAATTTTGTCCCAAGGTAGACCTTTTAGTACTTGACATTCAAAAAAAATTATTGAAATCAATTTACAATTTTAGGGGGGTGTTTCCATTAAAAATGGGTCACACTGTATATGATCTGTTCCTAGAAATGCATCTTTCAGATACATTTCTCAAAAATCATTATCATAGTCCCATCAATACTCTCATATGGTATTTTTTTATCAAAATACTTAAAGTCACTGGCTAGCCACAGCGTGTATACGCGGAGATCGGCAATTTTCCTGTCAATTTTAAATACGAAAAATGAAATATTCCTTATCGATACCACGAAATAACATTCATTTAGTCAAGCAAAACCTCATCTTCGTGATAGTCCTCGGTTCTTTGTTCCTATTATGAAATTGTGCCAAGAAAACCGCACTCCATCGTATATTCAAAATGTCGTGTAGTAACGACTCATGATTATAACTATTAATCGAATATTATAAGGTTGCTGGTAGGAAATTACGGTGTTTCTATCAAGTCTCTCGTATGATTACAGCGTTGGCCAACCTGTGATTAAAGTGCTCCACCCACCCCCACGTACACCCCCTCGCTCCCTGCCGGTCTCAGGTGCTCTACCCCCTCAGGGGCTCAATTTCATGCTGTAGTAATCTGTACCCATTAAACAATGGTTTTTCCGTAATGTTTTATAAATTGCATCGAGATTAGTAGGATCCTACTGGGACCGGGATGGGAATAGATTTTGTTGTACGTCAACTAGAGAAGCTAATTTCGTTACTTTTTAACGAAGATTCGGCAGAAGCCAGTTGCAGGTTGCATGTTGCTTGTGGACTGGAAAAACTGAGAGCCGAGTGGGAATCAGTATGATTAAAATAAGTACCTATCTTGAGATTGATTTTTCATTCCGTTATTATGTATTAATCAGTTTTAGGCATGCTTTTTGTATTTCTACCTGCTGTAGGCATGGCATTTTTAATGAATATATTTTTAAATATGTCAATGAGGCGGATTGCTCTTTCCTGGGAATAACTTAACGGCTTCATCTTGATGAAGAGCGGTGTACCCATGTAATTGAACAATACTGGAAAGGATTGAAACCTGCCCTTTTGAAATAATAGTATGTGCGTTGACTGAAATGACGAAACCGGAAGAAATCAGCTTTTTCACATGAACATTAAATTATAAAGGATGTTCCAATCTGAACTTGCGATCTTTGACAATTGATAACGGCCATCTTGTTGGAGCTATATCTGTCAAATTAGTTGTCATTTATTTGCGTTGCCAAATCCCCACACATACATATAGCACTCAACAACTGACCAAACTTCGATCAAATCAAATCAAATCAAATTTTATTAAATCCGTTTTCTTATTATACAATGAAATGGACGTGTCTGGTGAGATGTAAAACCCACACACTTACTATAAAAAAAAAATACTTCTAAAGGGGGCGTCCATAAATTACGTGAGGTGTTTAAGGGGGGGAGAGGGTCGAGTCAAATCTCATCTAATCTTACGTTGGAGAGAGGGGGGTCTCGGCGAATATCACGCAATTTTTTTTCTAATTGAAACAAAAAAAATTATACTATTTTGTTCCTTTTAATCCAGCGTAATCTTAATACGATTAAGATCATTCACTAATTCGTTCGAAAGAAAATAATTTTATTCATACTTCGACGTTCGACATCTACTGACTGTCAAACCACCATATTTGTTTTATACCAAATAGCTCAATTTAATCTGAATTTACGGTACAGTGTAGNAGAGGTCCGGTGATCTCGGGGGGCCAATGCTCAGTGCCTCCTCTTCCTATCCATCGTTAGGGATATGCTACGTCTAAAAAATATCTTGCTTTCACACTAAAATGAGCCAAAAGTGATTTCGGAGACCAAGGGGAACATCCTCCATAAGTTGGGGAAGCTCGTGTTCCAAAAAATATAGGTAAGCATTTCCATTCAAACGTAACGGGAGAAAATAGGGCCCAATTGAATAATCCCCAATTATGCCTACCCATACATGTGGGTTATCTTCCGCCTAGAATACGTCACTTGAATATTTTAACGTACTTATGTTACACCCTGTATATGTATACCTACTTACATGAAGATACTATATTGGCGAGGATGTAATGTTGATATTACTTAATGATACATAAAAACAAGTATATAAGACATCTTGATATAAATATAAAAAATCATAAAGCACAATAAACACTACGAACTCAGTTAAAACTGCTAGGAAGGAAGTCATCAAATCCGCCTTATAGCTGTGAAAACAATGATTCCTTAAAATCCTTAAAATTCCTTAAAAGTCGTTTTTATGCTCTGTGTTATGGTTGTGAATATCAGAATTTTTGGCAGTTCATTTCGGTTCAAAATAAAGGGAAAGTGAGAATATTTCAGATGTTAAAAATTACACTGTGTTTACGACAGAAAAAAGTGAGTGGCAAAAAAAATTGTAGAAGATGAAAATAAAAAACAAAATACACATACATATATACACATACATAAAATCACACGTTGAAAGGTAAGACCTCGTTAATCCTTAGCTCGTACAAGTTAAGACTTCTGAGGGTTG